CACTGCCACATCCGCCACCACCACAATTGTACCAGCAACTGCTTCAGCAACGTCTAAACGGCATTGCGGGAAACAATTTAGTTAAAAACTTGCATTACAATGCTCCATTGCTGCCGCTGGCACGGCAACCGACGCCATGTCGTTTTGCGCTTAAACGCTCCAAAAGTTTTATGACCAATATGCCACGTCAACTGCATAGCATACAGCAAAATTTGTTGAAGACACAATTGGCGCGCGTTAAGCTCGGCGCGGTCGGTGGCGATGCGCGTTTAAAGAGTTTCGATTCGAACGCCAGCGCGCTTACCAACGCCACAGACTCGTCATCCTCTACTTTGGCTACCTCAACGACGACGACAACAACAACAACAACAGGTGGCACCAATAAAACAAACAATTCGAATGGCACCACTTTTGTGGGTAGTGAGTTGGACGAAGACGATCCCCTACAGCAGCTGACCGTCAAGAATAGACAGCTAGCTGCATCTTATGGCGCAATTTTCCAACATCTCGTTTTTCTCGATCTCTACGACAATCAAATCGAACGCATAGGCAACTTGGACGGCCTTCCCGCGCTCTCCGTGCTGTTGCTGGGCAAAAACCGTCTCACCGATATCAGCGGTCTTAGCTCTGTGAAGCAAACGCTACGCGTGCTCGATCTGCATGGCAATAAAATCACCAGCATCGCCGGTAAGCTGAATTGTCTGCAGGAGCTTAAGTCGCTCAATCTGGCTGGCAATTTGCTACGTCAAATAGGTCACAATGATTTTTGTGGACTGGGGCAATTGCGCGAATTAAATTTGAAGCGTAATAAAATCAAGCGCATCAATGGATTTCAATATCTCACAGCATTGGAACGTCTTTGGCTGTGTCACAACGAGCTGCATCGCGTCGACGACATGGCTTCGATTGCCAAGGCAACACAGTTGTTGGAGGTAACCATTGAGAATAATCCCGTTTCGCTGGCGGGCGATTGTGTCTCATTCTTGGTCAGCTACTTACCTCGCCTGCAATCGCTCAGTCAGATGCCCATCACCGAGCAGGTACGCAACGCTGCAATGTCTTGGCGAAGAAATAAAGAGATTTCAGATACGCATTATGCCCACCTTTCGCCCGACGCCTACCAGAGTATCAAGCGCGAGGAGGTTATCTCGAATGCGCGCACGAATTGGGAGTTGCTAAGGTCACAGCAAACGATACAGCAATACGGTGCAACGCATAAACAGACATCACAACAGCCACCACAACTTCTATCCACTTACACAACAGCGCCACGTATTGCGAAGCCCAGCGAACTGGCGCGTATAAATGAATCCAATGAGGCAGTGGGCGATGCATCGGCAGAGGGTGCGTTGCTTGTGGCTGGATTTGAATCAGGATTGCAAGAATTTATTAAATTGCCGCCTATAGAGCAGCAGCAACAAAAGCATCAACACAAACCGCGCAGTGAGTTACAGCAGACACAGACAGGGACACCGAAATCAGGACAGTCGGCATCAATTGCGCCTAATGCGGTTGGCAAAGAGAAGTCAACAACAACAACACTCATCAGACAGCAACCACATAATGTGAGCAACATGGCCAAGTGCGACGAAAGCAAGAGCAACAACAATGTTGACAATACAACAACAGGCAGCAACAACAACAGCGCACGTTGTTCCGGTTCTTCCGGGTCCAGTTTGGGGCCGAATGTTCACTCCTCGTCCAGCTGCTTCAGTTCGGACAACGAGGACTCCACCGACCCGCAACAACGCGTCACGCGCATACACAAATGCCAGAAGGTAGCTGGCCAACAGCAGCGACGTGATGCAGAAAAAGAAGTTGCGTGTGAAAATGCTGCTGTAAAGGGCAAAAGCAAAAAAGCCGCGGCACAGAAGACAAAAACAATCGACGATGAGGCCACGCCTGCCAACAAACTAAATGGCGGCGCTGAAGGAGACGAACCAATATCTAATATAACCGGCAGCAAAGTGACCACTGGGTCAGAATTGAAGGCGAATAGAGTTACCGCAATTCATACATCAATTGATGCCCAAACAACAAACTCCGACAATGTAAATTTTCCGACAGACAAACAGCCATCAAGTACAGCTGCAGAAGAAAGTGCTACAGCGAAGGCCGCCGCCGAGTCTCAGTCAGTCAGTCAGGTGGACAATAACTCCTCAATGCTAATGCCGCGCCGCACTGCCAGTGCCAGCAAAACAATGGCGATGCCACAACAGAAAGCAGCAACAACAGCCACAATTGCAAGCGCATCCACAGCACAAATTACTGGCCACGGCAGCTTACTAAGTCTGGGATTTAAAGAGCACACGAGCGCATCTGTGCAGCCGTCACAACCAACAAGCAGCAATGCAAACGGCACGGCAACGGGGCAAGCGGCGCCAGGCAGCGCAACAACGCGTACAACATGTCGCCGCCTAATGAGGTCACAGACAGTCGTGGGCGCCAGCAGTGGTGGCATAAATAACTGCTTACCAGCCGCAGCTAATAACGGAAATGAAGCGTACGCCAATAGACGCACAGCAAACACCAACAACAACAACATCAACAAAGTCACCACAAATGCCACGTCGGCAACGACAACAGCAACAACAACAACGCCATGTAACGGTCAAGTGCCAACTCAGCCGACAGTCACATGCATAGTGGCGCCGCCGCCACTTAGCACAGGCAACACTACAAATAACAGCCACCACTCCATGTTGGGTGGCCAACGCGCAACGGCGGCAAACAAGGCGGAACGTGAGGCGCGCGAACGTGAGCGGGAACGTGAACGAGAACGCGAGCAGGGCGGTGACTATCTCATTGAGATTTGTGGTCGCTACCTGAACGTGTATGGACAGGGCGCACTGCGCTACATCGACAAGCAATGGAATGCAGCGAAGGCGCAGGATGTGCATACGCTGAATTTTAGCTACATCAATTTTAACAATATAGCCGCTACAGTGTTGGCGCGCGTCAAGTCACGCTTTCCAAACGCCGAGAATTTCGTATTTCGCGAAACAAACATCGAGATTATTGGTCAGTTGAATGCATTAGCCGAACTGCAAGGCATCAGTACGCTTACCATCGATCCAGAGGGAAATGCAATTACCACAAAGGATTTGTGGCGCGAATATGCCATTTATCGTCTGTCGCACTGGGGGCTTAAGCTGATCAATGGCGTTGCGGTCACGGAGGCGGACATCGAGGCGTCGAATGCATTGTACGAAGGTCTCGCCGATTTGGTGTTGTGGGCGATGCCGGCGACGATGTTGCAGCCGCTGTTGGCTCGTTTGCGGCTAGATGAAACATGTACGGCCAGCAAAATGTCGCCTAAAGATTGGCTAATGAAGCCGGAAAACAAATCATTGCGCCTGGTGGTCGGCAAAGAGGCGTTGCAGTGGAAAAAGCCTACAACTACCAACAATAATAACAACAGCAACAATGGCAATAACAATAGCGCCAGCGGACATCACCAACAACAAATGCCATATGCCGTAAGCGATGCCAGCGTCAGCAGCGCCAACATCAATGCGCTTAGTGTGCGCGAACGCGGACGCCTACACTTTGCCACCATGATCGAAAACACTGTGAATGCAGTGGAGAAAATGCATATGCTGGAATCACTGTGGCCAAGTATGCTGCTGGATATTGTGCGAAATGCGTTGCTCGATTACTCGCATCTCGACGAATATTTACGCAATTTAATGGACGAAATTATGAAGTGACAATGGAAAAACAAGCGCCTAGCTTTTACAACTTGTGGAGAGTGGCGAATGAAGAAGCTGTTAAGTGGCTTGTTGGCCAAGGGCGGCAATTACGCGCGAGTACATACATACATACGTATGTATATAACTAGTCACGGCTGACAGATGTTAATGATGCCTCTACTACCTGGATGACAACGTATGTATTTGTTGTTCATTTGCCAGGGTAATCGTTGCCCACGATATGCAATAGTGCAATAGATTTAGTGAATACATACATACACTTTAGAGAAGCCAAAAAGAGACGGCGTACATATACACATATGCGGATGTACATATACTAAAGTTACATATATAATGTAGAACAATAAATATTTGTAGCCCAATTTTTAAAATTAAATAAACGAACATGAAACGTATACTAATCAGCAGTTATTTTTTTACTCAATCAAACTTCATCATCAATCATTGGTCCAGAATGAAATGGATAAAACAGTGCAGGTATAAAATTAAAAACTATGGAATTAAGTGAAATTAAATGAATTGAAATGCACACTAAAATAAATTGAATTAAAAAATATGTAAATACATGAACTATTGAGAATAACCAAAATTAAAATTAATTAAAAACAAAACGGAATTAAATCAAAAACAGAAATATGATTAAAATTAAAGTACAACCAATAATCTTAAAAATTTACTTTATACATTTAAATTAAGTACCTTATTGCCAAGGGTGCAGTTCATGAATACAAACCGCGATATTACCACAAAGAATTAAACAATTTTATTCATTTATTATAGTTCATAGAAATGCCTTATTTACGCAACTAAGTTTAAATTCTGCATTTAACCGTGTTTACGCATGCTGGACATATCCATCAATTACGAACTGACCCGATCCTATTTTTAACACGAGATGAACCAAAGCGGTCAAATGACCAATATTTGCATATCATTGGTCAATATTTGCATATCACTGAATATGAGTGTGGGTAGTTGAACGAAACGACTTTTTATTACTTTTATACATTACAATGAATAAAACACAAAAATGAAATCATAAAACATAAATGAAATAGTATAACTTGTAATACGTCATTTAATCGCTCTTTGTCTTTCTAGGTAATTCAAAATTTCGGTCTTCGTAATGTTGAAACATAATTCAATGCAGTAACAATTGCGCATTTATTTAAAACAACGCCAAATTTGTATTGCCTATGCAATATGCACAAAATATGGAAATCCACTTTACTTAAGTATGTATGTATAATGTATAGTAATGCATACATTCTGCCGCCGAAATTAGTGCAGATATGAAGATCATTGAGTTAACAGCAACCAATTAATAAATAATATTTCGATTTGCTAAACTTATAACCACTTACGCATGAAACTATAAACACCTACATACATATCTATATACTAAGCTTACTTACAACAAGTTAAAGATTAAAATTATTTGTTAAACACCTCTTCATCTGAATTAGTCGGCTGCGCAGACGTATGCTTAATTTTGTCCACATAAATATTTAGTATAGCCTCAATTCCCGGATAAAGTACGAAATTCGTTGTTCGTATCTTCTTATCCGTCAAATATGAAGTTACAGATGCGGTATTGAACGCAATGTCCATTGCATCGTTGTGTGTAATCCTATCTAAGTTATTTCGCGCTAACTTTATTGCACAATTTTCAAATCCATTAACCTATTGCAATGTAAAATGAGATTATTGAAATTAAAATACACCTTTAAAGTAGTTCCTCACCTTAATTGTTAAGTCCAATTTGTAGTCTGAGTCAATATCGGGCCAGCTTTGCTCCAGCACATCGCGCTCCCACTGCAGTTCTGGCGTCGTTGCACTCAATCGGTTCGGCACAGCTACAAATTTTGACCATAACTCTGAGGCAAAATGTGGCGCCATCGGTGCGAGCATAATGATTTGACTAGCTAATGCGCGTTCATATTGTGGACTATAGCGTATAATATGTTTCGGAGCACGCTAGTTAAACATATGGAAAGAAATGTATACAAATTTGAAATTCTATATCCAACAAATATACATAGATGACATTTACCCGTAGAGAGTTCGTTAGACCCTGCATTTTAGAGATAGCTACACTTAGTTGATGCGTATGGCGGTAGTTAAATGTGGCACCCTTTACATAGAAATTGCGTGCATCGAACATTTTAGCATCTTCTGCCTTGAATGATTCGCTTTCAATATCAATTTGTTCGCTCTCGCTATCATCAGGCGTAGTACGTGATGCATGGAAGTCGTTTACAGTTAACCAAAGACGCTTTTGCCAGTTAAGTATTCCAGGGAACGCTAAGGGAGAAGTGATAAAAGAGACTAATAGAGTTGCCACAACTTTATAGGCCGCATACACATACTCGCGCTTGACCAATTTCTATGTGAAGTCGGCGCCACATCAGCCAGTGATATAAGACGTGTGGTATCAGTGCCATATTCTTTAAACATATCCGTTGGGTCAACGCCATTCAATTTAGATTTTGACATTTTCTCCCAAGTCATTACAACCGGTTCTTTGGTGTCCCTCAAACGCGCTTGGTTCTTCTTGGCATTCACAATTTCAACCTTTTAAATTACATAGTACATACAGATATATAAAATTTATTTTTTTTTATTTTAAACTGAATGCACAAATACCAACCTCCTCTTCTTTCACGTAACGTCCGGAACCCTTTATTCGAAATGATCGCCCCATAACCATGCCCTGCACAAGCAACCTTGAAAACGGTTCTGGTGTCGGTGATAGTCCACATGTGTGCAAAAAATGATTTACAAAACGCGCATAATATAAATGCAGTACAGCATGCTCTTTGCCTCCAATGTACAAATCAACGGGCATACATTTTTTGACAAGTTCCTTATTTACCATATCTTTGCTGAAGCTTGGATCCAAAAAACGCAAATAGTACCACGAACTATCCACAAATGTGTCCATTGTGTCAGTTTCCCGTTGCGCATTTGTGCTACCACATGTGGGACAAGTGCAACGCAAAGTCTCCTCACGTTGTTCCTCTAAACATTTTTTCTCTGGAAGCACCACAGGCAGCTGGTCCTCAGGTACAGGCACAGCTCCACACTTTTTGCAGTGTATAATAGGTATGGGCGTTCCCCAGTAACGCTGCCGAGATATCAACCAATCTTGCAGCTTTGATGAAACACGATAGCCTCCGATCTGAAGACGTGTTGCCGCTTCCACGACTTCTTCTCGCGTACGTTTTACATCCAAAGTGCTGGGGGTATTTGTGTGCGCAAAAAATGCCAAGCCGAATGTTTCTTGCAGTTCTTTATCTTGCTCACGAAAGCTTGGCGCCGCCAGATAGACATCACAATGATCGGCATAATTAGCTTTATCACTAAAAATTACTGGTATAACTGTGCCAGCGAAAGGATTTTCGACTGTTAAGCGCGATGCATTGGGTAACTTTGACAGATAATGATTTGGTTTGATGACTAGAAATGAATTTGGATCTTTTAGATGTTCCGGATGATTGGTCCAAATACGTAGCGAGTTTGAGGCTGACGTTAGCAGTTGAAATACATATCCGTCACATTCGCCAATCCAATGACGCTGCAAATTAATAATATCACGCCAATCTTGAAGTATTGGATCGTCCAATCCTTCTAATAGTGCTTTAGCATAGGCAGTAGTGCGTATGAACCACTGATTGAGCAATTTTTTCTGGACCTTAGCGCCTGAACGCCATGAACAACCATTTGCGTCCACCTGTTCATCAGCTAGTACAGTGTTATCGACTGGATCCCAATTAACCAAAGCCTGCAGGAAATGTTTTAAGACATTAGAATCGGCAAGTAAATCATACACTTTTATGCGAACGCTTGCTGAAGTTAGAGTACTTAACCTCATTTTGATATGCTAATCCCTTGTTATAAAGCATCAAGAACAGTTTTTGCGTCCATTTATAATGTTCCGGCGTGCAAGTGGACATTTCATGTTTCCAGTCAAAAGAACAACTTAGCGCTTGCAATTGCTGCTTCATTTGACCAATATTAGCCTCCGTCCATTTGGCTGGTTCCACACCACGCTGTATGGCAGCATTTTCAGCTGGTAAACCAAAAGCATCCCAGCCAATGGGCTGGAAAACATTTTTACCACACATTCGATGAAAGCGTGCCACAGTGTCGCTAATGGAATAAACTCTTACGTGACCCATATGCAAGGCACCTGATGGGTATGGAAACATTGAAAGCACATAAAATTGTTCACCGCGTTCTGGATCGAACTGTCCTTGTGATACTTGTGAGCGCCAATGAGACTCGATTTCATGTTTTATATCATTTGTAAGCTCCGAAACCTACCAATGCAAGAATCGTTATCATACGCCCGTGTATAGCAAGTTAAATAATACCTGGATACTGGTCGCACTCTGTGTTATAAAACGGCGGTCACAGATGCGCTTGAATTGCTGTAGCACACTAGAACGGAGAAGTAGCTGCATTTTCTTATAATTAATATACGGTTTCTTATTAATATTGGAAGAATTTGCAATAAAATATTTTTTTCCCCCACAAAATTAAAATATTTGCACCTGCTATAACAGCTGATAGAAATTGTAATAGAGGAGACATGAACACTGAAAGAAATCAGCTTCAGTTCATTCTTGACAATCTGTTCTGTCTGTTCTGTCTAGGGCAGCCGTGCCCAGTGCAGGGCGCTTGCCTATAGAATTCTGCAAACGCAGGACACTTGCGTATAGAGTTCTGTTGGCGTTGGACATGCCTGATCTAGAGCATTGTACCAAGAATGATAGAATAGAATGTTCGATTGTTCGCAAAAAAAATTAACAAATCCCTCTAGTTTTTTTTAATGGCAATTGTTAAATGAAAAAAAATACCGGTGACAAATATATTTTTTTTAATCAACGGGAATTTTTTAGCTACACATTGTTGGTTATACTAAAATTCCAAAATTGTTCTAAATATTCAGAGTAAAAAGTTCAAAATTCAGACGAAAATATTTTTGAATTTTTCTAAATGTTGTAAATAGCTTGAAGCCTTGACTTGTATGTGTTTGGTTAAAGCACAAACAATATTCTTATATAAAAAATAGCAAACAAAATTTTAATTGAAAAACATTGTGAATAATAAAAAAAATCCATAGACTTTTGGAGTCACTGTAATTGTTAATAATAACTCCAGTTGAAGTTTCTTTAAATGATGAAGTTTCGTTTTTGCCTTTCACTTTCGTTTTGGTTGAAGAAAACCGAGACGATGGCATTAATATGATATCAAATATTTCATCATTAGTTAAATAAAAAGTTCCCTAATAAACAATTCTAATTATTTTAGGTATTTTTTTCGTCAGTGGCAACCCAGGTGGTAAGTAATCAAAAAATTTCGTAAACCAACCAAAATGTGCGCCAAACGGTTGTTCAAGCGTTAACATGATCGAACAACGATAGCCAACACATCAAGTTGTCACACATGTTGGATCGTGCAAGACCCGCTAGTCGTATCGTGTACCTTTGAAGAGGGTAACAAAAGCAACTCTGTAGGATGACTCACAGCAGTGCTGCTTGCCTTTTCTGTACGGCGAATTGGGCAAAACCACAAGCGGCCTTTGCCATATTCGGGCAGTATTTAAAAATAATTTCCTCTCGATTTTTATAAGTGATGATTAAACACCGTATTAAACATATAACTTAATTCATTATTTCATTGTTTTAATTTATTATGTTTATTTACACTTTTTCCCCCTATTTGACCTTTGATTCATATGAAGCGTTGGCAACACCTTTTTTCACTAGTGATTTTTCTTCGCTTGCAATTTGTGGACGTAATCAAATCAGCTATCGCAAATTAATTGAAAATAAAAAAATAACTTATTTAGTGTGAATTCCAGCGAATATATCATGGGAGATTCGCTGGAGAACGCCGATACCTCTGTGGAGGCGGTGGCAAATGTGACTATTGTCGATTATGGCGCATTTGCTAATTATATACGTAAAGCAGTGACCATCTTGCTGCCTGAAGAAGATGTAGTTCCTCCAGCATTAAATGTTGCACTGGAGGACCAAGATAACCAGGAACGCATAAAGAAGTTTCTTTCGGATCCACAGGTGCAAGCATTGTACATCCAGCGGAATTGCTTAAAAGGTAATTGCAGGCGCAGATATATTAGTCTAACGGCAGTCGCTTTCTACAGTTCATTGGCTAGTGGATACCAACGCCCCAATTTTACAAAATGGCGACCACGGTCTATGGTATCGCCTTACCATTTGTTTCATATATATATTCAATAATTTTATTGTAAATTCATACAAAGGAGGTTAGTCATGGAGTCATAAGACGTGGAATGTTTAACTATCAAACTTGATTCCAGTCGGGTAAAAACTTTGCAAAATCCAATTGGATAAAAATCAATAAACATGTTCCAATTGGATACTGTGTAGTTCGAAGTTTGAGTATGGTGATGTCATTTTGAGCTGAGTCATCGGTGCAAATCTAGTACAGAGTGATCGATAATTCTATTACAACTGGCATTTGCTCTTTTTTTTTGGGTAGCCGGCATTAATGTAAACAAACAACAGCTGGTAATTGTTTACATGGAGTAAATTGGCTGTCATCTTGCAACAGTTGTTTCTTGTTTGTGTGAGGGTCTACAATGGCGGAAGGAAAGGAATTTGTTTGGCCTTGCTGAGTAGCATTGATTTGAAGGTTATTTTTTCGCGATGGGCTTAGTGGGAGCAATACATACATATCGCATAAGTTTTCAAAAGGGGCACAACTCAAAAAAATTTAGGCCGATATTTTGCGTAAATCACTTAATTCTAATGCTTTTCTCTTCATGATTATATACCTGTTATAGAGAATTTTAGTTATTTGTACAATGACGCCCAAACACGCCTCCTCCTCCTCCGCCCCCCACTTTCAGCCGGAAGTTTTTCATATCTTTTATATTTGAAAATAAAATTGCTTTTATATTATAGTATTATGCGACTAAATAAAGTTTATTTCATTTCAGAAGATGAGAATGAACAACCCGCCGAAGGGGAAGAGGAGAAAGAGTTTGTGAACTATCAAATTAGTAATGATGTACACTTTACCAACAGCCGTATGGCTTCATTAGCGTGCATCAAGCGTGGTGCCGTAATTGAAGCAGACAAATCTATACATTCCCAGTTGCGCCTGATTAATTTCTCCGATGGTTCACCGTATGAGACGTTGCATGCATTCATTTCAAAGTCCTTGGCGCCTTACTTCAAGTCTTACGTAAAGGAATCGGGACGTGCAGATCGTGATGGTGATAAAATGGCGCCTTCTGTTGAAAAGAAGTTGGCCGAGTTGGAGATGGGCCTTTTGCATCTACAGCAAAACATAGACATACCAGAAATAACGCTGACGGCACATACTTCTGTAAATGCGGTCATACGTAAATGCGCTGATGAAAACCGCAAGGCAAAAGTGGCTGACTTTGGTGACAAAGTAGAGGATTCGTCATTTCTTAATCAACTACAAAATGGTGTAAATCGTTGGATTAAAGAAATCAAAAAGGTTACCAAGTTAGACCGTGATCCATCATCGGGCACAGCTCTACAGGTATAAAAATTATTTCCTTACAAATACAAACAAATCTAAACAAAACCTAGTGTAGGTTGTAGCTATGGTCGAGTACAACTAAAAATATATTCCGTATAGTTCCTGAACCATCCATTTTTATTGTATTTAAAAATAACCGTTAAGTTCGTACTTGATGCACTTATCTATTAACAGCTCGACTATTTTTCACCCAATATTAAAAACCAAGCAAAAATATTCAGCACGGTGCTTAAGGTGGCAAAATGTGTGTATCAAATTTGGTCGAGATCGGTCAAATAGTTTTTGAGATATGCATATATGATATAAGTGGGCAGCGCCCCGCCCTTTTCCTAAAATTTTATAAAAAACGAATTTTGTGTTAATGAAGCATGGTATATATCAAATTTGCTCAAAAAATGTGAACGTCCGGCACATACACACAAATAAATTTTAGGCCGTATTTTTGCTTAAATTGCTTAACTTCGACAATTTTTATGCAATTTCATTAAGTGAGGTATCCATTTTTTCGAAAATAGATGTTGCATCAAGTACGAACATAACGGTTGTTTTAAAAAAAAAAATAAAAATGGAGGGTTCAGGAACTATACGGAACCTACTTTTATGTTGTACTCGACCATAGCTACAACCTACACTAGGTTTTGTTTCAAGTGTATTTCATGACTTTTTTTGTAGCACCGTATATTTAATGGGATTTTCTTTTCTTTTTTTTAATTTTCAAATAGGAAATATCATTTTGGTTGAACTTGGAGCGCGCTCTGTATCGCATCCAGGAAAAGCGCGAATCACCAGAAGTTGCCCTCACACTAGACATATTAAAACATGGCAAACGTTTCCATGCCACCGTGTCGTTTGATACTGATACCGGCCTAAAACAGGCCTTGGCTATGGTTGCCGATTATAATCCCCTAATGAAGGACTTCCCCATTAATGACTTGCTATCTGCTACCGAGCTGGAGAAAATTCGCCCAGCAGTGCAGCAGATTTTCTCACATTTGCGCAAAGTACGTAACACTAAGTACCCAATACAACGTTGTCTCAAACTCATCGAAGCTATTTCACGCGATTTGTCTCAACAACTACTAAAAGTGCTGGGTACACGTCGGCTAATGCATATTCCTTTCGATGAATTTGAACGTGTCATGAATCAGTGCTTTGAAATATTCAGTTGCTGGGACGACGAGTACGATAAATTACAAGGCTTATTGCGCGACATTGTAAAGAAGAAGCGAGACGAGCATTTGAAGATGGTCTGGCGCGTATCACCTGCGCATAAGAAGCTTCAGACACGCATGGAGCATATGCGCAAGTTCCGTCGCCAACATGAACAATTGCGTACTGTAATTTTGCGTGTGTTGCGCCCTACCAAGCAAGCACAAAATAATGATACCAATGCTGTCGAAACGAAGCAACCATATAGCCTGGAAGCGGCTGATGCTAATGCTATTGAAGAGGTGAACTTGGCATATGAAAATGTCAAAGAGGTAGATTGCTTGGATATAACCAAGGAAGGATCAGAAGCTTGGGAAGCAGCTGTGAAACGTTATGAAGAAAAAATTGGTAAGTAGATTGGGGAATATTTATTGATTTAAATTGTTTTAAAATTGTGGCTTTGTAGATCGCGTCGAAGCACGCATCACAGCACATTTGCGTGATCAACTCGGCACTGCTAAGAATGCAAACGAAATGTTTCGTATTTTCTCGCGCTTCAATGCGCTGTTTGTGCGTCCGCACATACGTGGTGCAATACGAGAATATCAGACACAACTTATACAACGTGTAAAGGATGATATTGATGCATTGCACGAGAAGTTCAAGGTTTGTTTGAAAATCACCGCACGGGTAAACAATTTTGAACACATTTTAATTACATTTAGGTACAATATCCACAAAGCAAAAGCTATCGTCTTTCCACTGTGCGCGATTTACCACCAGTAGCTGGATCCATCATTTGGGCACGTCAGATCGATAACCAATTGACAATGTATTTGAAACGCGTAGAAGATGTGTTGGGCAAGGGCTGGGAAACGCATTTGGAGGGTCAAAAACTAAAAGCAGATGGCGATAGCTTCCGCGCCAAGCTCTCAATTTCTGAAGTATTCCAGGAATGGGCACGCAAAGTGCAGGAACGTAATTTCGGCAATTCTGGTCGCATTTTCACAATTGAATCAGCACGTTCGCGTACCGGACGTAGCAACGTTTTAAAATTGCGCGTTAACTTTTTGCCAGAAATCATTACGCTCTCAAAGGAAGTGCGCAACATTAAGAATTTGGGATTCAGGTTTGTATCTCAAAAATATCTCGAACTATTTGAATAGATTTTATGTTTACCCATTTACTGTGTTTTTAGAGTTCCACTTACTATCGTTAAACAAGGCACATCAAGCCAATCAGATTTATCCATATGCAATTTCATTGATTGAGAGCGTTCGCACCTATGAGCGCACCTTGGAAAAGGTATTATTATGTGTTTAATTGAATTTCGCACTGATTTAAACACTCATACATATACGCCCACTACACATACTCACATTATTTAATATTTTTTCTAAACTTTTAATACTTACACTTTTCATAAGTACATGCTATGCACCGCGTGCAGCTTGTAAATTTTAACTTATTAAAAAAAAATAAAATTTGTATTTATTTACTTAATGGTAGCGATATTTTGCGCTAATTTCCACGTATCGATTTATGCTGGTTTAGTTGTAACGAAAACATGCTTTATCTTGGCTTGGTTTTAGTTTTAGCTCAAAGCCCGAAAACATTACACACATTCGATTCACTTCCACATTAAATAAAAAATCTGCTTAATTTTCAATATCACTTTGTAACAATCAAACGCTGTACAAGTTTTTTTTTAAATTAAACTTTGCATTAAACTCGCAATGAATTTACTCTCTCAACAAACAATGTCGAATACCTCCCTCTCTTACATGCAGCTAAATAATAGGAGTTTAGCACAAAATTCAGTATTCAAGGTAGTGTTATTGTTAATAAATGTCTCTCAAATAGAACTATAGTATGTATACAATCATTTGCACTTAGAACATTTAATAATTGTAATCACATTCTAAAATAAAATCAAAAAAGTATTCACATTCTATAGTTAATGCAAGCGCATGCTTTGTACATAAAAAAGCAAACTTCACGCACAACTTTTCCAAGCATCCGCATATTTAGTTACTTTTTCTTACTTGCTAGATTGAAGATCGCGCCAGCATTGTTCCACTAGTTGCTGGCTTGCGCAAGGAAGTGCTAAATTTAATTTCCGAAGGCATTGGACTGGTCTGGGAGTCGTACAAACTCGATCCGTATGTTCTACGCCTGTCAGAATGTGTTACACAGTTCCAAGAAAAGGTTAGCTAGTGTATTTTCTGATAAAAACTTTAAATCAACCAATATATTTTCCCCAGGTCGAGGACCTGCTCGTCGTCGAGGAGCAATTGGACGTTGATGTGCGCTCGCTAGAGACTTGTCCTTACAGCGCTGCTACTTTCACCGAAATCTTATCGAAAATTCAACATGCCGTTGACGCTTTATCACTCAAACAATATTCCAATTTAAATGTTTGGGTTACACGTCTGGATGAGGAAGTTGAAAAGAAGTTAGCTATGCGTCTTCAGGCTGGTATACAAGCTTGGACTGAAGCTTTAACTGGTAGCAAGAAGGAGCGCGATCTCTCCATGGACACTGATGCCCCAGCACAGCCAACACACAAGCTTGGTGGTGAGCCACAAATTCAGAATGCTATTCATGAGATACGCATTACCAATCAGCAGATGTACTTGTATCCCTCAATCGAGGAGGCACGTTTCCAAATTATGCAGCAGTTGTTTGCATGGCAAGCAATTGTTACTTCGCAGGTGCGCCTGCAGAGCACACGCTACCAAGTCGGTTTGGACAAACTTGCTCCCCCTACTTATCGCAATTTGTTGACTAAATTGCCAGAAACTATGATTTTGGAAAATGCTTATGGCGCAATTGAAAATAAAATTAGTGAAGTGCGTAATTATGTGGAGGAATGGTTGCGTTATCAGAGCCTATGGGATTTGCAAGCCGATACTTTGTATGGCCGTTTAGGTGAAGATGTTAATTTGTGGATTAAGTGTTTAAATGATATTAAGAAATCACGCACTACCTTCGACACATCTGATACACGTCGTGCATATGGCCCGATTGTAATTGACTACGCTAAAGTGCAGGCTAAGGTAACCTTGAAATACGATTCTTGGCATAAGGAGGCATTGGGTAAATTTGGCACACTGCTCGGCAGTGAAATGACTACATTCCATTCGAAGGTATCGAAGTCGCGCACTGATTTGGAGATGCAAAGCATTGGTAAGTTTGGCAAAAGTTAGCTATCTGTAAAGCCTTTCACATTCACTTTGTTTTGCTTTCTGTTAAAACAGAGGCCGCCAGCACTTCTGATGCCGTAAGCTTTATCACTTACGTGCAAACGCTCAAAAAAGACATGATCGCTTGGGACAAACAAGTTGAAGTATTCCGTGAAGCACAGCGTATACTCGAGCGCCAACGTTTCCAATTCCCTAACAACTGGTTGCACGTTGACAACATCGAAGGTGAATGGTCCGCCTTCAATGAGATCATCAAACGCAAAGATACAGCCATTCAAACACAAGTGGCCAGCTTACAAGCTAAAATTGTAGCCGAGGATAAGGCTGTTGAGACGCGTACTATTGATTTCTTGAACGATTGGGAGAAGAACAAGCCAACTGGCGGCAAAATACGACCAGATGATGCATTACAACAATTGCAATTGTTTGAGACAAAATATTCACGTTTGAAGGAAGAGCGCGATAATGTGGCCAAGGCCAAGGAGGCACTGGAATTGCAGGAATCCGCTATACCTAACAATAGTTCGGAGCGTATGAATGTAGCTTTGGAAGAGTTGCAGGACCTGCGTGGTGTCTGGAGCGAGCTCTCCAAGGTTTGGACACAGATTGATGAGACTAGGTGGGTATTTATAGTCTTTCTAATGTGTATAAAAATACATACATATAAGTACATATTTACTGGCCAAATATATCTAACTTTAGGGAGAAACCTTGGCTTTCGGTACAACCCCGAAAATTGCGTCAACAACTCGAGGCTATGATGACACAGCTGAAAGAATTGCCGGCACGTTTGCGCATGTACGAATCATACGAATATGTGAAGAAACTAATTCAAAGCTATATTAAAGTGAACATGATGATCGTTGAATTGAAGTCAGATGCACTCAAGGAGCGTCACTGGAAGCAACTTACCAAACAGCTACGTGTTAATTGGGTCATATCCGATTTGACACTTGGACAAGTTTGGGATGTTAATTTGCAGAAGAACGAGAACGTAGTAAAGGACATTATACTCGTTGCTCAGGGTGAAATGGCACTGGAAGAATTTTTGAAGCAGGTGCGCGAATCTTGGCAGAGCTATGAACTCGATTTGATTAATTATCAGAACAAATGTCGCATCATACGTGGTTGGGATGACCTCTTCAATAAAGTTAAGGAGCATATCAATTCCGTTGCTGCTATGAAACTCTCACCGTATTATAAAGTTTTCGAGGAGGAAGCACTAACTTGGGAAGAGAAATTGAATCGTATAAATGCACTTTTTGACGTTTGGATTGATGTACAACGCCGCTGGGTCTACTTGGAAGGTATTTTCTCTGGAAGCGCTGATATCAAAACACTTTTGCCGGTGGAAACATCACGTTTCCAAAGCATCAGCTCCGAGTTTTTGGGTTTAATGAAAAAAGTAACCAAGTCACCGAAAGTAATGGATGTATTAAATATACCAGCTGTGCAGCGTTCACTAGAACGTCTTGCTGACCTTTTGGGTAAAATCCAGAAGGCTTTGGGCGAATATTTGGAACGGGAACGTACCTCCTTCCCACGTTTCTACTTCGTAGGCGATGAGGATCTTTTGGAGATTATTGGCAATAGCAAGAATATTGCACGTTTGCAAAAGCATTTCAAGAAAATGTTTGCTGGTGTTGCTGCTATTCTCTTGAACGAGGATAATACTGTCATTTTGGGTATCTCTTCACGCGAAGGTGAAGAAGTAAAATTCATGAATCCAGTTTCGACCGTCGAACACCCAAAAATCAATGAATGGCTCTCCCTGGTTGAGAAACAAATGCGTTTTACTCTGGCATCACTTTTGGCACAAGCCGTACAAGATATTAAACAATTCCGTGACGGCAAAATTGATCAACAAAAATATATGGAGTGGTGTGACAAGTATCAGGCTCAAATTGTTGTACTTGCAGCGCAAATTCTCTGGTCCGAGGATGTGGAATCGGCTTTGCAACAAGCATCTGAGAGTAATAATTCAAAGCCAATGCAGCGCGTGTTGGGTACCGTGGAGTCAACATTGAATGTGCTCGCTGACTCAGTGTTGCAGGAACAACCGCCACTGCGCAGACGTAAATTGGAGCATTTGGTACATATTGAAAAGCTTATACACAGCCTATTTAAACTAATTAGTTACTTTTTTTAATTTTTTTCAGATCAATGAATTTGTTCATAAGCGTACAGTAACACGACGCTTGACTGCCAATGGAGTTACCAGTCCCAAATCTTTCCAATGGCTTTGTGAGATGCGTTTCTACTTCGACCCACGTCAAACTGAGGTAAATATTTCCACTAATAGTACACCGTCAACCCTCTAGAAACAATGAAAAGTATTTATAGAGTTCTGCATTTATCACAAAATAATATAATCAAAATTAGTATAAAAAATAAAATTACCAGCACAATTCTGAATACTCCCAGGGAGTTTTTTCTCCGGGAATTTGTTTCTCCCGAGAAAGAAATCCTCCAATAATTAACTCCCAGGAAGTAGCATTTTCCCCGAAAATTTGGAAGGAGAAAATTCAAACTTCGCAAGACCTGTTTGATACTTTTTTGACAGCTCAACTCCGCCATTTAATATAAAAAATCCGCAGGGAATTTTTATTCGTGATAGGAGGAAAGGAAAAAGAGAGTAAACTCCCAAGGAGTTCCTGTTCAGCATCTGCCTGAATATAAGAATGGTTATTTCTAAATCATATAAAGACGTTTCCTCACTACGAGTATGACATCGAAGCTGTTATCTACGTATTTGTCAATATTACTGATGATTTTATCGAAATCATCGATTTATACGTATATAATTGTCGGTATCGATATAAAAATCTTTTCGGTTATCGAAAAATGTACTTGTGTCGATATATTTTCCACAGGTTTATTATCGAAATATCGATCAACAGTTTTGTCGATATTGTTTTGGTTATCGATATAGTTTCGTTATCGCATTCGCTCCAATCAGAATATGTACATACATACATATCGTCGTTTAAAGTACAAAACAGCATATCGTCATTCTGCAAAACCGCGTAACTGACATTTGCTGCCAAAAATTGGATTTGCTCATACAAGCTCTTGGCTCAATCCTTATCCATTCGTCCTGAAATGTACCAGCCAGTAATGCGATTGCTTTATAATAAAGAGAACCATTTTGAAATATGAGTGTTTTACTCTCTAGAAAATAATTTATGCAACCTCACATACGCGGTATTGAATTATCTTGATACGCGGTTTTGCATTTTGTTGATACGCGGTTTTGTACTTTAAACGACGATATGTCCGCCTAAAACCGAAAATCGCGGATTGACGTTGGACTGACACGCACCCATAGACAACATGTTGCAGTAAAATTTAGAGACAGTCTGGCAAAGCGCTAGTTCCGAACTACATATTTCAGAACTATCTCTGCTCTATCAGAGATTTCAATGAATGTTTCTAAGAGTTTTACGCGAAACTCTGGTATACGTGTGACCTTTTATTCCGTTTCTTATTAACACACCCGAAGAAACACTTAGCTAAGAGAATGATTAGAAAGCGATTCGAATTCTATGTGCATGTGTAGTTCTCTACAAAAAGGGGACTTAGTTCTCGATATCGAGAAAAGATTTAGATATCTTATCGTATTTTAACGTTGAATTCTAATTGGTTTCTAATGTCTAGTGTTTTTCTAAACATTCTCTAATCTAATTCTAACATAGTTCTCTAACCTCATTTTTGATTCGAGAACTACATTAGAATTCGAATGTAAAATGAAAACGATTCTCTAACGTTAGAGACTGTGTTTGCTGGGACTTAAGCGCCATCAGTGTGCGTAAGAGTTGGTTTTAAGAGAATTTATTTTAATTAAATTTAGATTTTCCTGACCATAAAAAAAAAAAAACAAAAACAACTTA